GGAGTGCTTCATCCCTTACCCCTTTTCCCCACAAATGTTCTGGTTGTGTTGTTTGTTTATATATAATTATAGTAAGGGTTATGGGTTAGGAACATTAACTATAACATTACAATCAAGCTGCAATTATTAGCAGCAACGAGCAAAAAACTCATACGATGCGTGATACTGCCGATAAGTTGAATAGAAGGCTCAAAATGCTCTTAAAGTGACAATTTTTTGATAAACTAAACGTTTCTGGCTTAGCCCTTCTTCAGTATAGGTGGAATGATTGAGCCACGCAATACACGGAAAGCACGCGCATGAAGGGCAAAGTAAACAAGTAGGAAAAACATTGCCTATACATGCATCCGAGAGACTGGAGGGCAACTACGGGAACGTTTCAGCGAGCACCTCCGTAGCATTCAAAACCAATCGCGCGGGTTTCCCGTAGTTGAACATTTCAATTCCGCTTCCCACTATCTGGATGACATCATGGTCTGTGGCTTAATCAGCCGCAATCAGCATGAAATGAAATTGATCTTCAAGCTGGGCACGCTTCGACCGAACGGTCTGAACATTAACTTTAATCTCTCGTGACTACGGGTCTAGCGCGTATTATACATACGCGCGCTAAAAGAATGACTTCCCTATTTGTTTACTTTGTGCTTCATACGCGCACTTTCCGTGCGTGCGTACACTTCTGGGATGGCGATGTGGTCATTTCCAGATTGGGATCCTTTATTGACATCCAGGCTTCCAAGAAGAGTCGTTCGTGAGTTAGTCTCAAGTCCAACAACTCTGACACTTCCAAAATCCATTTCGTGGTTGTTTTCGTGGACATGGCAGGAGATCTTGGAGTCATGGTCGAACATAGAAACAGCCCTTTTGTGTTCCGTAATCCGAGCTTTCAGTGGTCGTTCAGTTTGACCGTACTATACAAAACTGCACTTGGTGCAACTGATTTTGTACTCTGTGCCAGATTGTGGCCTGTCAACCTTTTCCGGGGATTTCGGTCGCGGAAACAAACTGTTCACAGTTCTCAATGGTTTGAAGGCGACTTTGATTTGTTGTTGCCTCAAGATTCCACTAATCCTTTCAAAATGCCCCGCACATAGGGTAGCACGTGAAACCATGGATGGTAGATCGGTGGGGAGTTTCGACAGCGTTCTTTCGGAGCTATTGATGAAGGATGAGGGATAATTATTGTCTCGCAGTACAGCCTTGACTCGTTTCGTTTCTTCGCGTTTGCCTTCCTGTGTTGATGGTATGTTCTGTGCCCTGCGTAGCAAGGTACTGACTAAAGATCTCTTATAGCCTGTGTGGCGGTGAGAATTGAAATCAAGATAGCGGTCTGTGTGCGTTGGCGTTATGTAGACATTCACTTTAGGCTGCGTACCCCTCCTTGTGGTGAAAGTGTCTATAAAAGGTAGTCCCTGTCCCTTGGTGTCCTCAAGTTCTAGAGTGAGCTGTATGTTGGGGTTAATTAATTGAATTGAGATGTTGGTGAAAATCATCCAACTGGTCGTTTCTAAGACACGTGTGACTGTGGTGTGACCGGCTTATAATCCATCAAATATTTTCGCTTGTACTTTATTGGTCTAAACGCACCACGTGACAGAATATACCCCAGCTAAAGCTGGATGTTCTCTCTTGGATGTTCCCCAGCTTTAGCTGGGATCCTAGGGATATTCCCCAATTTCCAAAACTTCAAGAAGATCCCACGTGTGGTAAGAAATATTTGAAGGATAATAAACACAATAGCCCGGTCTATTGACTTCCAAAATATGCTGGAATATTTGTCCTTGTGAATTGTCTGTTCCTTGAAGCTCACAGTTTTCCTCAAGCTCTCGGAAAACTCTTCTTCTCTCGGAACAGATAATATCCGGGCATATTTTAACGGCAAGGGAGGTTATTGTTTATTTATTGCACGAAAATAACAAAAATAACTTAAAAAACCGCACTCAAGTTGAATACTGATAAATTGATAAAATTTGCTGCTTTTTGGTTTCAACAGCGCCTACGACCCCTTGGAGGATTGAGCAGCGGCTACAATTAACTGCCACAACAACCGTTGGACTGATTACCACTTGGTATGTTTCGGAAAACAAAGCAAAAATAAAAGTAATTTTGCCACAAATTAGTTAAAGTGTAAAATACATTTGAGTCGATATGTAGACAGCTGAGGTTTAGTGCACTTCATCTCAATGGCCCTTTAAAAGAAAGCGAGTGTGTGTAAACGTGATTCTACTGGTATTTTGTGGTCGGCAGTAAGTGAGGCTCATTTCTTTCCTGTTGCTTAAAATTATGGAAAGAGCGAGGTTTGAAATGGGAATTTAACTCAAAACCGCTTCAGTGACGATATAATTATGACATGCGTCTTATTTTTTTTCAAGACTTCTTATTTTCTATCAAAACTGATGTGCATTCCGTCATGAAGGACAAAGGAACTTTCTTAACTGGATGTATCAAAAACCGCCACATAAGGACGGAGCCTACTTTTGTTAGTGCGCACACGTTCTGCGCATCACATAAGGCATGGTTTAAGCGCCACGCGCGCGCTGGGTTGACATTGACGCAATCAACTACGCTACCAAGTACGCGACTAAAATGAAAGCGAAATTTCTTGCTGTGACCAAATCAAGTTTAATGAATCTTTACTTAAACTAGGAACACCAAAATAGCAGCATATCGCAGCCACTAACTGTTTACGTCTTCCAGCTGACAAACTAGCTTTTATCTGTCAAAAATTATACTGAAATCCAAATCTAAACATGCATCTGCAGATGGCGTAGTGCGCGCCCAAAACTAGTGCGAGACAGGCAAATGTTTTACTAGGGAAGTGACAGGAAAAAATGTAACGGGTACTGTAAAAGTTTTCAAAAAGATGAATAACTTTAAAAAACGCGTGGTTATCTCTAAATTTTATGTCATGAAATTGAAGTGGCAAGCCTATTCAACACGTGATGAGTTTCTGGTTGTGAGCTGAAGGTATTTAGGCTGTATTTTAGCTTAACCACAGGAAGGATGTCCGAGATGTTAAAAGCGCTGTTGCAACGACTTTATTATCAAGAACATACCAAACATGGGTGTTATGTTACCATTTACCATGCAGTTTTAAGATCTTTATAAATGTGTTTGCTTTTCCGTATGTAAAGGCGAATTCTCAGGAAATCTGTGAAGAAAGATCCTTTCCTTCTTTTTTCAGAAAAATGCTGATGTCAGCATTTTTTGTTTTTTTGAGATTCAAGGCTATCTCGAAAAAATGCGTGGCTACCCCAATTTTTTTGTGGATTCAAATAGCCCTTGCAAAGATCTACGTTTTTTGCGTGGTCCTAACCTGACGCAAAAACCTTTGTATTTAGTAGACACCGTCCTAAAGGAAGCTCAGTCACGGTAGTTTGCCAGATACAAAATAACATTCAAATTGAAGAACACCTGAATATAGTAGTTTACTAAGAGGGAAAAACAGCGTAGAGGAACTAGGATGGTTAAGGATGGAGACGATTAACCCGGAATACAAATGACGCATTTGAAATGAAATGAAACAAAACAATGAATATTCACCTAGTTTAATGAAGTTCAGCAAATCCTTTTCGTGACTGCGTGCATTTCTGAAAACACAACTCGGAAATTTCAAAGGAGTGGACCAAAAAGAGATGATATAGAAACTGATTGATACACGTACCCTTGCTTATTAGTCCCTTTCGTGTCAAAATCAAGGCTTTCGTTCTGTGTAATATGGGATTCAAATAAGCAGTTTCCTATCTGCTGGCTAAATTGTAAATTATACTATTTCTCCTCTCCTTAACACATCATCCCTGAAGCTGTCCTTCCCAAGCCCTGTTATTGGGCCACAATAAAACTTCCCAAGAGGCGATAAGGATAATATGGCTATTATGGCAAAAGGGTTAGACCCATATTTGTCTAGAGCTGAATTGGTCATGTGATCTATGCACACATATTACACTGGCTAAGAATATGCGTCCACTTCGTTCAATTGCTGTTTGCTAGAATTTAGCTCACGACGCGTGAGATAATCGTGAAGTCATTGAGAACACGGACCGCTTAGTAATGATCTTACAACATAATTTGCTCGACTTGTTAGCAGAATATATATTGTTGGGTATTCTGGGTACTTGAACAGGTCTGTTAATCTATATCTATACTCCCATATGAAAGCAAAGCACAACTACTTAGTATTCATAACGTTTCTAATTAACGATGTCTAAGCTTTTGTTGGGTTAAAAGCCATCGACTTGCATTTAATTTCAAAGAGTTCGTGTTCAATTGCTAAGGAAGAAGGTTATAATATCAGTGTCATTACAATCCCATGAGAAAGTTCTATTGATTGACAAGTGGCCACTATCAGGGTGTCACATAGAATGCATGGCAGTGTATTAATAGCAAATGATGCAGATTGCCATAATTGACTGCATATCACTGAAGAAGAAGAAGAAAAACAAAAAAATATGAAAGAAAGCATACGATTCAAAGAAACTTGGGCTTGCCATCGCAATTACCCAACTATACCTAACTTAAAAACGAGCGCTTGAACTGGACATGACGTATTCTGGGTGTAACAAAATATGACTATATTGTCGCTGCAAAGAAAAGATAAAAATATCACTTTTCTAATATCAGTCTATCTATATAAAGCATTTCTCCGCTCCAGGCTTCTTTATGAATTATGCCGCTTAAGCTTTCTTCATTCGGAGTTTATCTGCGTGGCAGTAAATGTATTATTCAGAACAGACAATAATGATCGAAACGTTAGTAACAAAAATAAATAGTTGTTTACTTATTTTTTTTTTTCTGGCTCATAGACCAAGATTTAAATATTGCACCAATTAACATTTATCTTTACTATATTGTATTTAAAGTGCTAACCCATTGATTCAAAATTTTCCTGTCATTCCAAATACAATATCCAGACTTCCCTTTCACAAAAAAAAGCACAGCTTTGCGTTTTAATTTGTGTTAAATTACGGAGTGAAAATAAAAGCATCACTAAGTCAAATAACTCGCGAAGTAAAGACCACAAACGAAAGTAAAATGGCGTCGATGAGTTTGCTTCTCATTTGCCTTGTGGCTCTTTTGAGACCTCTCTGGGGTGTTCCTCTGCCAAATGAAGCTGGTAGGTTTTTTTTTTCTGTTAATTGGTAACCTAAAAAACGCAGAGCTCTCTGTGCATTCAATTTTAATCGACCAGATGGCTTTAGTTAAGACGAATAGAGAGTTCAGCAGTTTGCCTTGTTAACAACATTCAGTATTCATTTGCGAACCGTAGAGATACTTAATTTTTTAAGCTAACTGTAGGGTTAATTGCTTTAATTAACAACTGATAACCATTCATTCGAGACCAACGGTGGAGCTGTTAACAGTTCTCTCTCCTAAAGGCTACATGCACTTAGACAGTTTCTTTCATCGGTTTTTGCCGCTTTAAATGAATTCCTGCGTTCTTGCCTCACTTATTCGTCAAGAATTTTGGAATGTTGCATGTTATTAGATCCCGAAGGTTCCAGGCGAAAAACATCGTCGCGACACTGAATTCCTTTTAAAGTCGATGTATTGTTCACTGTCGCGTATTGTAACGGGAAAGCACCTCTGTTATGGTAGAGATTAGAATTTATCAATAGGAATAATCGTTGACGAAAACCTCATAAGAAATGTAATTAGTTTCCCAAGTTGGGTATGAAATTTCAAGTCACCTACCAAATTCTCTCAATAGAAGAAACATACATATTGCACCCGTAACTTGACCCTTGTTCTTAGAAAATCAAGAAAAACTGTTAGAATTAGGTGAGTGTCGACTTTCGGCTAATACAATGCACATGTATATGCCGTAAGGTTATTTCACTTTTGACCTGCTGTCAAATCCATCACAAGTCATAATTTTAAATGCAATAGCCTAATAAATACAATAGCCTATTATATTTTAAATGCAATAGACTTATCGCGATTGGTATATTTGTGGTATACCGCATTTTGATTTTTAGGTACTTTCATTTTGAATAATTCTATGGGGCCATTTTTATGGTCTCGGGTACCCGAGACAACCCTCCCCCTGTGGCAACTTTATCGAGCGTTTACATGTGAAAACGGTTTTCCTACAGGCCGAGTCAAAGTTGACCCTTCATGATTATTCATAACCCTTGCTGAATTCTTAAATATCCCCTTTTCTTTAAGTTTCCTTCGGTCATTCGATCACAGTGGGTTTTTGGAGTTAATTTTCACTTCTCTGATACAAATTTTTGCTTTAAACCCTTAATCTAGGGATTTCGTGACACTCGCCACGCCGAGAGTTGTCTCGGTTAGGCGAGCCAAAGTGATTATACGAAGAAAAGTTGTCCCGCCTGCCAGGGTTACCCCACAGGCCGAGGTGAGAAAACTCGTCCACTCGAGATGTCTCCCCCCCACCGAGACGGGTTTGCGGTCGTCATGTAAACAATTAGTTGAATTTTGTAAAGAAATAAGTGAAAAGTTATCTCGGCCAGGGTAACTCGGGGGAAGGATTGTCTCGGGTAACCGAGACCATATAAACGGGCACTAAGTTGGAACAGTTTGTAAACGTATCCAACTGAAGATTGAACACAGGTCCCCTTGTAGGTCACTCGAACGTCTACGATAGTTTTTGTTACTATTTTTCGAAGATTGGGTTTCGCAATTTGTTCCACTCATATAGAGTAACGTATGCGCATGTATCTAAACCGGCAATTTTCTTAATTTTAACATGTATCCATACGATGCTGCCAAAGAATTATGCGATGTCGATTATTTCTCACAGAGTAGGATAAGCAGTGTAAAGAAGCTCTCTCTAAGTTGATAAAATATCTAACATATTCAATCCAGACATCGCTCCTTTAAGTTTTAGGCTGAGCTATGGTTCACGTCGTTCTTTTATTGATAGTTAATTGATTTTATATCACCATGTATCATGTAGAAGCGGATCATAAAATAGAAGAAGATCATGCCCAAGACTATCCGGAGATGGATGAGGAAGTCGAAGATATGGATCCTGGCTGGGATGACGAGGGAAATGGTGAAGGAGACTACGATGCTGATTATGACGACGGATATAACAGCGACGAATACGACGACGACGAACTACCTGATAAAGGTATAATACATTTCGACAATAACTGATAGCGCTTTTTAAGGTCGCATATAAATTGGTCACTTTCTAATAATTTACACTCCGTATCCGCCACATGCAGCTAACAGAGTATTTTAAATCCACTGTTAAAAAAAAATGCTTATTTAGTTTCGAACAGTTTGGCATGGTGCCTCTGTAGGTGTTGGAAGTTAAATTAAATGAACAACGATCTTCGCATCATTTACTTGTGTAATCGTGCTCAGTAATAAAATTCTCCAAGTTCTATTTTTCTCCACATGCCTTTTGTTGAATTTATACAGATTTACTCACATAAAGGTAAATGAATATTATTCCCTGGAAAAGAAGTGCCTGCTGTGTGTTTTATTATTCTTTACACTGATTGACATTCGCTTAGATCATCGAGAAAAATCAAGCGACACGATCATGGCAAACACACTTTCTGCGTATGTTAAACGAATTTTTCCAACAGAATTTGACGATGAACAATTCGAGGACGAACAAGTAGATGAACTTCCAGAGGAAATGTACCAAGATGAGTATGACGAGTAAGTGGGAGAACCTCAAAAACAAGGTAATGTGCGGCAATGCATGTGGTCGTTCTTTTGCGTATGGCCGATCACATGATTTTGAGGTCAAACTGGATAAATAAGGACGATTCATTTTCAAATAAGTTCTCGAAAAGTTTGCACGTAAAAAACCATGAAATAACTGCTTGATAGTACCCTGGAAAAACTGGACCACTGATTTATAGCTTTTGGTTATGCATTGATAACTCACGTGGTAGGTGCTAGGAGTTAAATAAAATCAGAAGATTTTATTCACATAGCTTCCGAAAATGTTCGAAAATGCTCGGGTAGACTTAGGCAGTTTCGATTTACCTTCGGAAATATTAAGAAATTGTCGGAAGTCTTCGGATAATAATCGAACCGTTTGAGAGTCGTATGCTGACCTACGAAAATCTTTGGAACGCTTCAGGTGATCCTAGAATTACGTCGGATGCGTTAGCAGGCAGTCAAGTTTCTACGTTTGAAATGCAGCAATCGTCGCTATTTGCATCGAATTTTCTGTTATGTTTCTGTATCGAAATACATTTTTTAATGCACTGTGTTGCCTAAACAGCCGATGTAAGAACTCAACAATAGGGTACCAAAACTTGCATTTCATAGCGTACAAATATCGTTGTCATGATTAGCTTTACAGCCTATCAATTTTAAAGACACCCCAAAGCCACTTAAAATAGCGTAACCCATCCTTTTTGAACAAACAATAATGTGCCGCACAACACGTTTCACCCCATTACTCAATTTTCACGCGAAGCCTCGGTAACACGCAATCCTTTTCAAGCTTTAGGCACCTTCAGACTGATGTCATGGCAGTGTATTTTGCCTGTTTTCATTTGCGGAAATAAATTGATGATAAAATTTACAGGTTACAGTTGTAATGTAGGCTTGGATGTCCAATCGGATAGTCTGACATAGATAGAAATAGCAGCTTTTCGGGTTGTTTCCTTCTCTAATGAGAAATACCGCAAGTCCAATATTCAGCTTTGTTTTCAATTAAGAATTTTTATCCGCCTTGGCACGTAGAAATATCGAGCTCCAGTGACACAACGATGAAATCGTACAATAAAACGGAAAGTCGTATAGGGAGTGCAAGAATGTGATGAGGTCTAACTAGTTAGTTCTCGTCCAGACGTATCCACATGTTTTTGTTTTTGAGATCAACGAAGAAAGAAATTCAGCGAAAAACTCGCTAAATCAACGACCAAAAGAAAGGCTGACTCATCCAATTGCTTTCTCACGTTATAACGTAAAATGTAACTGTTGCATGCTATAAGACTTGAAAGAAGCCCAAGTAGCAATGACACAAGTTACCATCTTGATTTTCACACTCGCGAAAAAGGAGGCCTAGATAGGCTAGACGCGTTCTATAACATCATTGTATTCCAAAAGCTCCTTTTACGTCCGTTCGCACGGAAACGATAAGCCAGCGCTTTCAAAAGGTCCACTTACTCTGGGGACCGTTTGGTGCCCCAAAACGCTTTTTACTTGCAGACAGAAGATCATAACAGAGAAAAAAATATCCGTTTTCAAAAAATATTGGAATAACTTATTCATTTAGTGGAATTGACTTCAAATGCAGTTGAAGAGTCGATGTAACATTTGAGTTTACATGTATGCATTCAAGGTTAACATAGCCGCAAAAACGTCAGTCATATCAGGCAAGCTGCTAATAATTGCACAAAGAAAAAGGAGAGAGAGGATAAAACTTGAAAATGAAATCGAAAATATCCGGTATTTAAGACAACAATTTGGAGAAAAAATACCTCGTTTGAAGGAGTATTAAGGCAGTTTTTCAATCTTAGATGATCCCTTTCCCCAACGTCTTGCATATCAATCGATCTTTAATACAGACATCTTACGCTGTTTCCCTTAACAACGATGTGTGATTTATTTATTAATTAGAACCTATTGGGGCCATTCCTATTGGACAAAGACCAAGGATTTAATTTTTTTTTCAGACATTTGGCTTTACCTGGGCGTAATGGAGCAGTCAGTAGAAACTCCTGACATATTCATCATCAGTTGGGAGAAGCCTCATGAAAACTTCATGTTCGTGCTCTTCTTTCATTTAAGAGCATATCTCCCTTAATTTCACTGAAAACCAATAAAATAAAATACTCTGAAGAAGGAGTTAACAGGCTTTTGAGTTGTGCTTCGCGCCATATTGTCAATAATTAATTATTGATCATTCCTTCAATTTGTGTTTATTTTTATGTTTATTGCATAAAATGTCAGTTAACTGCAGACAGTTAGGCAAGCTATCGTGTGGTAAGCGCATGACAATTTACAAGCATCAGGCGTAAACAGGAGGTACAATGTTTCTGGATTTGCGTGAGAATATTAAGCGTAAGGGAAACGCAACGCCGTGCTTCACGGAATGCTCCAAACGTTTCAACTATACTTTGTGAAAATGCCCAGCTAATTATGGCGTCATAGACTGCGTTCCACGACGGAAATTGAACCCTGTAATCAGTATGTAGTGTGTGCGGCACCGGTTAAGGCATTGGGACTTTTATTTCTTTTTGGGGGCTGAATAGGACAATTTCGATATATTGAAATTCAGCCTAACACAATAAACCTCAGCACGAGACTCTGGGTTAAGTGGGTTAACTCTGTAGTTATTCACCAGAGCCTCATACTGAGGTCTATTGTTGTAGGCTGAATTTTAATGTATCGAAGTTGGTCTGTTAATCGCGAGCGCCAATGAGCCATGTTGTAGATAGAAAGCTCTAACGCAGTGCTACCCAGGAGGGAGAACTTGCTGATGTTCGAACAACGTAACTGAGAAGCGAGGTGGTCCTCATGCAGGCTGAAGACTGGCTGGCTGGCTTGCTGGCTGGCAGGCTGTTCAAGCTATGCAAAATGTTCCGTTGAGGGGGTGTGGGATGGGTGGGGTAGTCATGAAGGAAAAATTCATCAAAGCTGCTTTCAAAATTAATTTTTACTAATAAGATAAGAAGATCGCACAGGACAGAGAAGGATATATCTTGAGCGTTCGGGGCCCAAAAATAAGTAAAATTCACGCTTTCTGGAGTCACCCACCCTTCCCTCATCAACTCCCGAAAGTTAAATCGTCATCCCCAAAGAATGTGGCGTAACTGTTTCACAGCAAGTTTTTGGAGTGCGGGGTAGTTTTTTACCGTCACACAAAAGGAGGGTTTTTCTCCTTTGTTTTAATTTGATAACAACATACAGTCGATACTCAGGTCAACTTCGATCCGTACCTTCTATTGATCGCACAATTGTGTGGACTTTGAGACCGCGACAACACTAATGCGGTCTTAAAGTATCCATTTTCGTCTCAGCGAAAACGAAGCAAAAAATTATCGTTTATACTAGCGGTTTGGGTTTGTTTTCACCTGTCTACACTAATGCTTTCTTGTATGAAAACGCATAATTTTTGACACCTTTTCTTCGCCGATCGTCTACACTAAAATGCCCGAAAACTCTGAAGGAAACAACAGTATATAACGCTTTTTTGGCACCATTTTCAAGAGCGTATGTTTTCACCTATTTACACTAGAAACGGAGCATTTTTTAAACAGTGCGTTTTCAACAGGGTCCACTTTTGAAACCGTTTTTCGAAAGCCTCCGTTTCCATCAGCGTTTTAGTGTGCACGATAGACGAAAACTCATCAAAAAGTATGCATTTTCATATGAAAACGCATTAGTGTGGTCGGGGCCTGAGATAACCTTGAAGCATTCTTGAGCAAACCTGAGCAAGCTGATTAAAAATAGTGCATATTAAAAGCTAATCGAGTATTAATTTGATTATCCCCATGCGAATTGTTTCACTGAAACTTCGACGATACTTCAAGGGTACATTCTGGCCGGGTTGTTCGAAAGCTGGATAACGGTATCCACCGGATAAATCCCAGTACAGCGGATAGGTTGGTTTGTTTTGTTAGCACTTATCCACTGGATAGAGATTTAGCCCGCCGAGAGCGTTATCCGGCCTTAGAACAACTGGGGGCAATGGTGTTCTATGTTGCTATTGTTTTCCTTTGCAGCGAATTATTTACCAGCACTGAAAAGTGCGAGTCGTTATTTCGAAATGACGAAAATGAATCGTCTCTGGCTAGGACAGATATTTTTGTATCGCTTTTATATCCCTGGATTAACACGAAAAATTAAACCTAGGCCAAGTTGTGACTGATGTTAAAAATATTTGTGCTCCTTATTCACAGTCTACAGTATTTTTTTTTGTCGAAAACCATGTTTAAAATTTCTTTCTTTCTGTCTTATCAACATACATTGCATATTTTATTATCAACACATTTTTCGTTTTTTCACTTAATGTCGCGCATTTGGTTTTTTTCTTTGACAATCAGTGTAAATTCCTTGTAGTTTTGTTTGTAAATATTTGCTTTTGGTATTGCTGTAATAGCCTCACTATAATATTGTTATAACTTTCTTTGCAGTTTCTTTACAGCTGACGCTGTTTGGAGAATGATCGAAGCATGTGTTGTCGAGGGACCTGTGTTTACATGAATTTTTAAACGAGGCTAGAGAAGACCTAAAATTATAAATTTTGAGTATTCTATCCAGACCTTTTGGAAATATATATATCAATTACAGTGATTTTTCCGCACACATGAAAACAACAACTTGCGTTTTTATAGTTTAAAAGACATAAAAGACAGCAAGTGCTTATCGAAGCAGTTGTGATCTGAGCATCTATAGACTGAGACATTAAGCTTGAAATAAAGTATCTTGATTTGGTCTTTAAAGCCTCTCTGTCTTTAAATACATTGAAACCTGTATTAAGCAGACACCCCCTATTAAGTGGACACCAGCTTTAGTCCATAAATTTTCTTCGAACCAATAAAGAGACCTGCATTCAGCGGACACCTCTGTTAAACAGGCGAGGACACCGATATTAAGCCATTTTGTTGCCTTCTGTTACTACCGGACCTTTGATCTGGACCTTCCATTACTACCGGACCTTCTATTACTACCGGCCGCGGACCTTCTATTACTACCGGACCTTCTATTACTACCGGACCTTCTATTACTACCAGACCTTCTTTTACTACTGGACCTTCTATTATTACCGGACCTTCTATTACTTCCGGACCCTCTATTCCTCCCAGTCCTTCTACTACTACCGGACCTTCTCTTACTTCCGGACCTTCAGTTTCATCTGAACACTCTATTACTACGAGACCTTCTGTTTCATCTGGACCCTCTATTACTACTGCACCGTTTGTTTCATCTGGACCTTCTATTACTACCAGACCTTTTGTTTCATCTGTACCTCATGTTACTACTGGATCTTCTGTCTCATCTGGACCCCTTATTACTATCGCGCTGTCTGTTTCATCTGGTCCTCCTATTACGAAGAATACAAAAGCAAAAACCGACACAACGTATCATCTGGACCCCTTATTACCACCGCGCCGTCTGTTTCATTTGGTCCTCCTATTACCACCGCACCGTATGTTTCATCCAGACCTTCTGTTTCATCTGGACCTTCTATTACCACTGTACGGTGTGTTTCACCTGGACCTCCTATTACCGCACCGTCTGTTTCATCCGGACCTTCTGTTTCATCTGGACCTTCTATTACTACTACACCGTCTGTTTCATCCGGACCGCCCCTTACTACCGCACCCTCTGTTTGGTCCGGATCTCCTCTTACTACCGCACCCTTTGTTTCATCTGGACCTTCTCTTACTACCGGACCTTCTGCTTCATGAAGCCTTTACCACGGACGTTGGTACAATTGAAAAAAAAAAATTCTTGCTGTTCTGTAAGTGTCATGATTGACACTTTTCTGAGTGGAAAGAAAGTCGAACCTCCGATTGCGACCACCTCTCGTAGGCGACCACCTCTCCTTAGCGATCAGTCTTCCAAAATACCAAACGTTTCCAAGTCAAATCACTATATTTGGAACCTCTTGTAAGCGACCACCTCTCGTAATTATAAGCGACCGCGACCACTTTCAGAGCTAAAAGCTTGAGAATTTCTTTTGTTTCTAACCTCCCGTAAGCGACCACTTGACACATAATATAGCGAAAATTGGATAATACGGTGGCGCAGAATTATCGCACTCCTGGTTAGTGCAAGTAACGGAAATTTCTCCATGGGGATACCGGATTTTTTTTTTTTCGAAATTGACTTTTCACATAAATGAAACATTTAAAACATAGGATAAGCCTCTGCAGTTATCATATACTATTGAGGCGAAATTTTGACTCAATATGGTCAAAATTCTCTTAAGCGACCATCTTCCGTAAGCGACCGCCAAGGCTTGACATTTTGGGTGGTCGCTTACGGGAGGTTCGACTATACGTGTTTTCTAGAATTTTCTGTATTGAGAGAGTTTTTACAGTACGAAAAGTCATTTTCCGTTTAGCCATGAATCACACATGAATAATTAAAAGTCAAGAGGAAATAATAAACTTCCAGAAAGTCAACACAACCGCTTTCTTTTCGATCCTGGAATCTTTTGCATCGGCGTTTTACGAATGCACAAGGGTGGTGCACAAGGTGGGTGCACAAGCCAGCATGGCTTCTTTGAAAATGCATTTAAGTCATATTACATGGTCTATAGGGGGAGCGAAATAATCTTATTCTAAGCCTGTTTTATCGCCAAGCAAAAATGAATTGCCATTTATGCTGCATCTTTGGCTTCGGTCGCAGAGATATGATTCAAACCATTTGAGAATACTCGTATCAACAACAATATTTATGCCAACAATATTTATGCAGAAAATTCCGTTTGAGGAGACTATGATCGATGGTATCAAAGACTTTTTTTGAGATCAATGAAGATCACACCATTAACCAGGCTATTGTCGATGTTGACCGACCAGCTATGTGTACTAAGTTTAGAGGTTTGAACTGGGGTATTGCTGGTCTACACTCTCAGGTCATCAAAAATAAAAAAAAATCGCAACCATTCAATAAATTAAGTCAAGAATCTGGTTTATGATAGATGACTGACATACAAACAACCTTGTTAAGATATAGGTCTGTGCGGTTTTTCGTTGGAAGAACTGTTTCACCAAAATTTATAGAACTTTGAGTTAGGGTTAGGGTTTAGGAGGCGTCAACGTGAAATAAGGTATGATGAAATCGAAAATCCAAGATTTTGTTTAAAAATAGGGTACAGGTCTCAGGGCTTAGTCGGCGCACAAAGTTAAAAAGGAGAAAAGTACCAAACAGATCAGAATCGCATTTTCAACCTCATGGATAATTTGCACAACAACAAAACTCACAATGGTGTTGGATTATTTTCAGTGGACTGCATCTCCCAATAGACAAGCTAACGTACAATGTGAGGTCCGCGGATACGTTTGTTTGGCTATTGTTTGGCTGTTAACTTTGCGTTCCTGTAATACATCCCTCAGAGGTTATGAAATAAGACTAAATAGAAGGATTTCTAAAATATTTATTCGACGTTCAGAGTAAAATAGAGATAATCCTCATTTGTTTCGTCACCTCAAACTGAAGAATTTTAACTATTTGCTAAAGGAATAACCGTCAACCATCAAAACGGCTTCTTTTTAACCTTCAACAGTCACAGCCAATCAAATTCAAACAAACTCTTATGTATTTCTTTGTAGTTTAATAGTATCTGATTGTTAACCTTAAATAAACTAATCCAACGAAAAGCTTAGCGATCGGTTGGTAACAAATCACTTCAAATAATTTTTTAATCGACTTCCATCTCGCAAACGAGAGCAAATTCATTCAGACGTGACCGAAGACATGCCGCCGCGGTTCTCACTGCCGGCGACAAATTGCGTTGTAATTTGCAAAACAAAGCGGTTCTCCGGTAATACGGAACCAAAAATTTCGTTTAAACGCTCATTTTCAAGCTTGTAAAATGCATATCAATAATAAACCGATATTACCTTTGCCGCTTATGAGCGAAACGTTTTTCGGTGGAAAGARATGAAAACACGAGGTGACATTTTTTTCGCAATCACCACGCTTCAAAGAACAAAAGGATACGCACTTAAGGGACAATAATTAAGCCGCATTGTTGAATTCTTTTGAAATACATCCACTGAATCGCCGCCCAAAAGTCACAAGTCCTATTCATTCATCTGAGCTCAATAATTCCGAAGATACTCAGCCCTGTCATCGGAGCAAACTCGACAATAACTCGAAGCTTGCCGACAGGTAAATTAACGAGCCTTCCGTGTCAATTAGCCAGCGGTATAGCCCATTTCTGAACAACACAAATAAAGCGTGCCTGTGTTGTAATGAGATCCCCCTCCCCTATTGAGTCCCTCTCCTTAGACAAAAAGCTGCTTGCAACACGCTTTGCACATGCTGTCTGATTAGAACAGTTAGACCTCTATTACCAAGCCATGGCTTATAGAAAAGTTAACAGTTTTAGAACCAAACCTGGCTCGTCTCTCTAATTTTATGTCATCATTACGTTTTCGCAACAACCACGTACCGGTTCTCAAGTTTTGATTTCAAAGGCTCACGTGGTTTGAAAGGCATTTAGTTATTATGAGAAGATTTTCACCGTGCGCAGTTATAACGTTGAGCAAAGCACTGATTCATACAGCTGATCACTAATCGTATTGTATGCTTTGTAACAAACATGACGCGGGATAAGAGCTTTAAAGAATACTTGTATATTTCCAAGTTAATCATTCACTGACAAAATCTTAGTTTTATGCTACCTTTATTACTAATACACTGTAATGACAGTAGACGGAAATGATGTTTTGTACGACTGGATTGCAAATAATTTGAGGTTCTGACTCAGTCGTCCTCTTCTGCTTCTTCTTCTTCCTCTTCCTCCTCCTCTTCTTCTTCTTCCTCCTCCTCCACTTCTTCTTCCTCTTCTTCTTCTTCCTCCTCCTCCTCCTCTGGCTCTTCCGTTTCCGGTTCTTCTGTTTCTTCTGGAGCTTCCGTTTCTTCTGGGGCTTCTGTCCCTGCTGGAGCGTCTGTTCCTTCTGGAGCTTCTGTTCCCTCTGCGGCTTCTGTTCCTTCTGCGGCTTCTGTTCCTTCTGGGGCTTCTGTTCCTTCTGCGGCTTCCGTTCCTTCCGGAGCTTCTGTTCCTTCTGGGGCTTCTGTTCCCTCTGGAGCTTCTGTTGTGACTAAAAGAAATAAATAAATGATTGAATAAAATTAGCAGATAAACTTTGATACCTTTCCTGTGTGTTGCTTCTAAAACTAACGTAATGTAGTTTTTAAGTTAACTAGTTGCCTTCCTGTTGGATTGACATTTCATTTCAAAACTTTTCATATCATGTAACTTACATAGATCATATTAGTACTAGTGAACGCGTACAGACTACAGAAAGGTATATACGTTTTACAGCATTTTTGTCTTAAAACTAGTAACCAGTACATAACATAAATATACAAGAGAGAAAAAGAATACAATGATTTTAAAAAAGGAAAGGTGTACACATTACATTTTTGTTGTGTCTTATCTAGGTATATCAAGAACTTTAAAAGTTTTAGTGGCGAACAATCCTGCTTCTGTGCAGTCTTGGTAGAACACACGAAACAGACTGTGGACCTTCTGCACTCGACTCTTTCATTTTTTTCCGCAGTTTGGACTCTCCCTTGACCCACTTCTGTTCGAGGGTCTCCAAGGATGACTCAAGATGTTTCTACGTTCTCTACTGATATTGGAAGCTGGAAAATAGATAATTAACTCTAAAGTAATTTTGAGAGCGGGATTTAATTTTCCTTGATCCCGATAACTTTCCGTGACTTGAAAAGAAACTTCATGATCATATTGGAAGGGCTCATTAAATATATTGTAAAGAGCAGAGAGCTCCATCTCAAAGTTTTTTGTGACCTTAAAGATAATTAACATTCCGCTTAGAGAAAAGATGGATCAGTGTTCCAAATGCCACAAAATCACAGCATGATGTTAATACGTCATTGGAGAAAACAGTTCATTCGGCACTAAGCAATTTCTATAATTTAGTAATGAGTCAGTCATACAGTCAAGAATTTTCAGATGAATAAATATAAATAATACAAAATATAAATTTGTGATAGAGCACAATCGACGCACACAACAAGCGCCTTCTGAAGCAAACCAACCCGAGCGAGAGCATAAGCGACGCCAGTATTTTCAATCGCCGCAAGAAAGAGGACTGCTCGTTAGAGAACCAGTGCCTCAGTAAGGGGCATCGTATACCAAGCCACCAACAACAGAGCAGGGGAACGAATGCTGCGTGGGATTAACCGACACATATTTTAAGCCTAGATACGCCGACTATAAACAATCGCTTAGAAAGGAAGCATACAGCAGCTAAACTAAACTCAGCAAACATATATGGCAGTTCAAGAAAGACAATTAAGGTAGACTACAAGATCAGATGGAAAATCCTGCACAGGGCTCAGTTATACTCCAACGCAACTAAAAGAAGCAAATTGTGCACTCTACAAAAGTTCTACATGATATGCAAACGAGAACTAGCCACTATTGACAAAAGATCAGAACACTTGCAGGCACGCAAACGAATTCTTACTGAAAAACACTTAGTATTGTGAAAGCACGTATGATTTCAAGGGAACACTATATAGGCCAACAAATATTAACGTTCTCATTTAGATCCTGACGAGTGGGAAAAACTCCCACGAAACAGTTTGTCGATCAAATGAAATAAAAGAACTAGTCCTGTACACTTTCTTTAGACGAAGTTCCATACCTGTCGGGCTCTCTAGAGGGCAACTCGGACCATATATTCAGGATAAATTTGTGATAAAAATGTATAACATAAAATGATCCTGTCAAAAGCGGCAAATAGTGACCGATTAGGAATGATCTGATATTTTTTGTTAGAGTGAGTGTACGAGACATTGATTCCTTTTTACTTAATAGAGACAAGTGTTTCGCTTAAGACAGGTCACTCATAAAATGCATCCGAAACTACATCTGGGACCCGAATGGAGTATTTCTCATATCCTCACTAGTCAGGAGATTGATGACGTCATCTCCCGCTTTCCACGGTTGTTTGTACAGACCATCAGTAAACATGCCAAACTGTTGGCGAAAGTTCTGTTTTTGGTTCATATAATAAAAACAAAATTACTTAATCTTGAGGACCGGAATCTTAATTGTTAAAAACAAGTATCCTGTATGTATTTATGGTAATTAATTCTGTTAAGGTTGTTGTAAGTTTAAAAGGTTTTCCAAACACCCTTTCTAACTACGAAGATAGCATTCACACCGAAACTTGTTTAAGTAATATGTCGCTCAGCTACTGTGCCATCGAGTGAAGTTGACATTTGATGATTAACTAACAATGTTTAGCGGCATTTTTAACTCGCCTAAGGTCACGAATATATATATTTTTGACATTTATGCTAACGCCGCCGTCACGGTTATAGAGTTCGGCAATATCTCTTGCCAGATTCAATACTATTGTATTCTGCTAAAGTGAACGGTCGAATGTCGTGGTTGAAATGTTTTTCGAAAGGCTAAAAAGATAATTGTTGAGCGAACTGTTTCGCAGGAAAGTGACATTACATGGAGACGTCATGTTTTAAACTAGCTGCAAAATGTTCCAACAGGAGAATTAAGCGTCGGACATTTTTTAGAGTGCATAGCCCTACATGAAACGAGAATTAAACGGCATAAATACTTTAATACAAGGAACCGAAAGGGTGAACTGAAAAGTCCGTCAAGGTTACAATTCAAAATAATTATGAATCAAAGCCAGACCCAATGACACCTAGAATCAATTCAAACATTATGCAATCCTCGATTGAACGACATTCTACAATACAGCAATGCGAGGGAGAAACACGCCCCCGACAAAATATATGAAATTGAGTAAAAGAAATACTTTCTCTAAAGGTTATACTAACGCCGGGCTTACCAAATTGGCTTATTTCTCATATTCTCTTTAACCTTCATTTCAGGTTTGAGTAGGATCGTGAACATAATTGTAAAGCTTCTAGTCCCAAAATGAGTTTTTATTATCGATAAGATGTAATAGCAAAAAGCAGGTTCTTATCGACTATCATTATTACTGTCACCACGCTAAATTTGTATTAAGTGAACTGAAGTAGTATTTAAATTGTTATATTCCTTTCCGTTGACTAGTTTTCAAAGACCCTATATTAACTGTTTTCTAACTACACATGAATTATCACGCATGACCCTTCAAAACAGGTTGATTTTTCACTGCATTCTAAGCAACAGAGGTTACCATACCAACGACAGGAATCGGAAAGTCAACTCCAAATTTAACACCAGATTAAACGCTAAGGATTTTTAAACATAACACATATGTTTTCGCGACTCACCTTGCCCAGTCATGGGGGCAGCGGAGAGCTGTCCGAGCAAAACACAAAGGCAGAGAAGAAACAAAGCTTTTGAAATCATCTTCTGGACTGGCTCGTTCCTTTCTTCGCAACGATATTTGTCACAATGAGGTTCTCCAATCCTACTAAGCAATTTATAGAAAATGCGGCCCTTTGTAAGTTCATTGTTTAGCAATATTTTATAAAACGTCAATCTAATTCGAGGAACAATTTAGGCGATTATGTGAACCTTTTTGAAAAAATGCGTAGTCACTTCCCCTTTATAATGAGTTTAAGGAGTTAACACTTGAAGTTTTACATCACAATTTGAGGCCAATCCATTTTATTGCCGTTACGTAAAGTTTAGCTCAGAGCAGGTAGTTTGGAATTGGGATGAAAAGCTCCATTTCCTCGGAGCTTAGTTTAATAATAGGCGAATTTAAGTTGAACGATTGAAATGGTATTTAAATAGAAGGCGATGAGATTATCTGGAGTGAACGTTATAATAGCAATGCTATAAGAATTCGTTCTTTGTCCGGACAAATAATGAATAGAATAGTCTGCCTAGTGAAGTTTTACACGCTGCATCACTGACTCTGTTTAGATCAAGACTGAAGACCTCTATGAAAGTTAAGTATACTTTAGAATATTTCTTAGTCTAGCATGTAAATATGTTTTACAATTTTTAACCTGGAAACTAATTGATATTGCATTTTATTATGGCTTGTAAATAGGTGTTAGACTGTACACGTCATTTACGCTTTTTATGTATGGGAATTATCACGTATAGGGCTAACTTCATGATTTCCATTTCAAGAGATACTTTTTTTAACATATTATTTGTATCTCTTGATAAAGTATAGTGATTGTGATTGTGACAACAAGTCAATTTTAAACACGTTTATTTGTAAAGTTATACCCGGTAATGACGCTTGCTTCATCTTCGTCACAATCAGTGCGAGAAGTTAGTTTGCTTACGAACTATCAACTTTGTAATAACTCTGCTGTGATATACTACCTTTTTCATAAACAGCGCAGTATCCTACCAATACCGGTGAGTGTAAAAGAAAAGACTGCGGACTGCAGATCGCAGACTGCAGACCGGGGTGTAAAATACAGACCAGGAGTAAAGTGCAGACTGCAGTTTGTAGTCTTTTTAAGTGAATCGTGTTACAATTTCCAGAATCGAGAGCTAATCGTAAACAGCCTAACTGGAGCGTTATTCAGGCTAATCTGGGTGATATTCAAGCTAACCGGAGTGATATTCAGGTTAACAGGAGTGTAGACTTTCACTACGATTAGCCTGAATAACCCTGTTTACGGTTAGCACTCGATAGGGAAATAACACTATATATACTTCAGTAAAACGTCTGAAGTCTGCAATCTGCATTTTACCCTCAGTCTGCATTTTACTCCTGGTCTGCAGTCTGCAGTCTGAAGTTCGCAGTCTGCGTTTTACACTGACCGCTTTTATACAGTGATAGCTGGTGGTAGATGTACTTCGAATAGCAGCGGCAGCAGCAGCAGCAGCGGTAGCCGCGGCAGTCGTCGTCGTTGTCGCCGCCGCCGCCGCCGCCGCCGTCGTCGTAGTAGTAATCTTTAATGAGGATACCAACATCACAGTAGAGTGGTTGACAAAAGGGTCCTCAAAATACAGAATACAGTGTATTTCGAGTAGATCTGAAAACAGGAGTCGCGAGGCGCACTGGTAATTTCAGTCCGTCATTTCTCAGTTTTAAGTTAATTATATTTTTTTATTTCCGGACCAGGTTATGTTTTAGAGTTTTTGCTTGTTTTCAGTAAGCCATGGCTCCCTTATACATGAAAAACCTAATATTTAGCCCCGATGTCAGCAGGAATAATTTCTACATGTAGACAATACTTAAGCGACCACCTTCTGTAAGCGACCATTTAGACTTGACATTTTCGGTGGTCGTTTATGTGAGGTTCAACGGTATTTTTTTTCGTATCATTCCCTGGCAGGACAGGGAAGCGATCTGCAATTTTCACACAAGCTCGTGGCTACAATTACGCAATTACAGAGTTCCGGAATTCTTCATGGCTTCGTATCGGTGTTTTAGCCATTTTCAAAGAGTCTTACGGGGTCCCTTTCACAGTCATCTGTAGGCCATATTTGTTGGGGAGAGTTTCGCTTTTTTATTTCGCAGGCCACCTCGCCTTGTTTTGGTTGGATTTTCTTTGCACTGAACCACTTTGCCTTCATCTGCCATTTGCAAAATGGTGAAGTCTTCCACATATGCCCCTCTTAATGGCCTCTGAATCCTATGTGTTTTTTTGTTGACGTTCGTGAGGGAAATACCATCGCGATTTCCTAATTTACCGTCGGTTCAAAAAAATTTTTCGTGCACTCGACTGTAAGGCTAGGCTCTGTTGGGTCGTTTTTCCCTGCCTTGAGACCCGGAACATTTTTTCTTTTGAATTTAGAGTATCTGGAGGCCTTTTGAATTCCCGTCTGCTGACGATACTCTCAGCGTGTTCTTAGGATAAAAACGATAGTCAGAAAAAAACAAAAACAAAAACAAAAACAAAAACAAAAACAAAAACAAAACAAAACAAAACCATAAAAATAGACAAAAATAAATAAATTGTTTCGAAAATCGATAAAATTCGATAAAGGGATACGTTGTGAGTAATCGATGATTATCGGTTTTTAACTTGTTGTTATCTTTTTATCGAACTTATCAACTTTATCGGCGCAAAATGTCTCCACCTATTTTAGGGCGGCGAAACATCGGAAAATGAACAGATTTATTAAGGCTGGATTCCTTTAGAATGATCCGTATAAGGATTAGTAATCCAAGATCACTGACTTGGATCATAATGCATCAAGAGTGGAGTCACCGGTTCCTTTGATGCACCATGATCCGGGTGATCTCAGATCACTGATCATCCAGATGGAAAGAGGCCTAAGAAACTGGCATCGTTACTCAACACTAAAAAAGTAAATGAATCAAAGGCCCCTGTGAGGCAGYTCATGGATGAAYGTTTCCTTGTGCTTTTGTTTCACAACGAKTCTTCGATCGTGCGAAACCTGAGTTTGATTGGCATGAAAAATGAACCTGTAGGTGGAAGTCATATGAATGGTTTCGCATTTAGACTCGTTTTGACACAGAGGCAAAAGGCAACTTGGAAATGACCTATTGGATGAATGTACAAAAGGTAGTAGAATAAAAAGAGAAGAGCGAAAAACAGGAAAATAAACATCTCTCGGTCAAATGTGATGCATAGGTTCCGATGTCCAAATATGGTTGCTTATTGACAC